AATTGCATGGGCAATAATTTCTAGAAATTCTAGAAATTCCATAAAGGCAGCTGTTTAAATTTTGGAATTTTCAATGAATGAAGCCAGTGGCTTTCCAACTGTGACGATCAAACAGTGCTGTGAAAACTGTAAAGATATTTTCACACCCGGAAATAAAAACGAACGATGGGGGAACCTTCGCGCAAACATGCAAAATAAACAGAAAATTAAATACAGTGGGGCCTACGAATAGAGAAATTTAGAAGAAGAACAGACTATAAAATGAACAGAAGTTATATATAAGAGGAACCTCTTCGAGCGATCACTGTGGGTAGCTTTTCGAAAATTCATTGAGCAATACAGCACCATTTCCAGCGATAATAATTAACGAGAAATCAAAGCGTAAACTAATTTAACCTTCGGCCAGGCAACAACAAAAGCAGCAAAAGCTAACAAAAACAATGACACGCTCACACGTGACCCTGAGAGCAGGGAAAATATTTTACTAAATGCAAATGGAAAAAAACAAAAAAAAAAAGTGGCAAAAGCAAAGAGGAAAAAACAAATGAAAAACAAATAAAATGCAAAGTAAATTAATTTGAAATACAAAATAGAAAGAGAATTAAATTAAACAGATTATGGAGCAGAAAAAAAAAAAAAAACACTAGGCAGTGCGAAGAGGTAGGGGGAAAGGGAAATGCAGACAGAGCAAATACAGTGGGAGAGCCGCTCGATGCAAGTGCAATGTTAGCTAACAGAAAGAGCATTAAAGGGAGAGCCAGAGAGAGAGAGAGAGAGAGCGAGGGAGAGCGAGAGTGCAGTGGACGGAGGCCCTGTTAAACGGAATAATTGACTAATTTCTTAATTGCCGTCACAATTTGCTGACCTTGACACACTATGCAAAAAAAGCACATCAGTGATGAGAGAGCGAGAGAGCGGTTGAGAGAGCACAATATAAAAACCTATCAAAATAATAATAAAACTAGTCGTGGCTCTCTCTGTCGCACTCAGAACGATTATGCTCGCATTTTTATGGGCAATTTGTTTTTATTATTTTAGTTTTTGTGGATATCAAAATAGAGAGCAGAGCGGCGGAGAGCGAGAGAGAGAGCAGAGCGGCGGAGAGCGAGCCGCCAAGGCAGACAGCGTGGCACACAGGCAAACAGTCATAAAAAAAGGAAAACCAAAAACAAAAGAACAAAAACAACTGTGAAAACAAAGACACCTCGCGAATGGAAGCGGTTGATACCCTGGCAGATAAACCGTTTGCCAAGGCTGCTTTTGGATCTATATGGTGCGGATTTGGAATCTACTTGGGCATACCCCTCCCCCATACCATCATACCCCCTCCTGCCTAGGGTATGCCCAAAGACTAGCACAAATAAATAGAGGTTTTTGCGTGGGCGTTGCCTTCGCAGCGCCTAGAGTCGCGTGTATGTAGGTGATATAAGCAAAATAGGCGAAGGAGAAGCAGGGGGAACAGTGGAGGGCAAAGGAGAGCAGTCACGTGCATGTGTCTGAGTGTGTGTGTGTGTGTGTGTGTGAGTGTGCGGGGGCCTTTTTAAGTTGATTAAAAGCGCATTCTGCCGATGGCAAATGCATCTCTCGTTCGCATCTTCCTCTCGCCGTGCTCCCTCTCCCTCTCATAATTGTGTCACCCGATGGCAACTCTGGTGAATGTGTGTGTGCTAGAGGGAGACGGAGAGGCAGAGCCGGTGAAATGTGTGTCAAGCCTCAAGGGGCAAAAATGTTATGACAACAATACCGGAATGATACCGAATGGTTAAAAATAGAACACCAGCGCCTGTCTAATTAGTAAACCGTTTCGAAATGATGGTAGAATGCAAGCAGGAGAGAGGAGTGCTGACTCCTCAAAGGAAGAGCCATTGAAAGTAATCGATTAGGCGATATATTCATGGTTTAATGATACTCTGAAACTATTGTTTATGTGCCAATTGCATGACGAATTTGACCTCATTTTGATTGATTATTTATTGGAGCAAACAAACATTTTACTGCCACAATTTGCAATGGCTGTTGCATTTTCCCACTGATTGCCAGTCACGCGTTAACGTTGAATGATAGCGCAGGAATGATGGATAGGGGGTGGCCACTTTTCATAAAGTACCTGATTTATGGAGCATGGCCTATCTCTACTATGTCTACTCTAACAACCGTTTCTAACCTTCTCCATCTCCTATGTCTCCATTTTCCTTTGCGTATGCGTAATTTCTACCAAGTACAGACACAACAAAAGTCGTTTTTTGTTGCAGACTTGCTTTTTGTTGCGCCCCACCGTTTGCCAGCCTGCCTGTCTGATGATTTTCAATGGATTTTTCGTTAGAAATGTTGTAGAGATAGACACGTACACACACAGTGACGACCCCCCTCTGGCTAGACAACAGCCTGATGCCAAAAGGATATTTTTGGGTTGGACGCAGGACGCAGGACCTTTGTCGTCTGCCGTCTGGGGGTTTTCTCTGTACCTTAATGGAACATGACTTTGACTTTTTGATTTTCGGTTCGTAACGAGCCGTCCACAATTTACGGTTATGACCACAAATTATTGCCATCGACTGCTGTTGTTGCTTGTTGTTTTTGGGGTTCAATGTCTGATAAATGGGTTTGGCCATGGCCCTGGCCTCTGGCTGGAATCTATGCCCAAAGGCAATGTCTGGCTGCCGCCAATTAGCCCTGACATATACATGGCTCAGAGGATGTTCTATAGAAGAAGGAGAGACATTTTTCGAATAGGTTGTGTGAAAATGGCTGGGCCTTGTGGGCATTTGATGGCAGGTTTTGAATGGACTGAGGAGCGCTGCTGCATGACGCGCGACACACAGAAGAAGTGTTATAAGGTTCTGCCCATTCCTCTCGAAAGGCTCGCAACTCTTAAACCACCTCCGCCCTAACCCTTTAATCACTTTCTCTGTACTGTAAAGCCTTCCACATACATAGTTCATGCCTCCTTTCAATGCCACACGAGACACGAATGAACATAACTCTCTCTTAAATTGTGAAATGACCAAAAAACATGCGTCGTTCTTAAATGCTTAAAATAAAATTCATTCATTGCCCCGGAATATTGATTAACAATACATAAATGTTGTACGTGTGTGCCTGTGTGTGTGTGTGGATGTTGTTGTTGTGTTTGTGGTCTCGTTGACCGGCGAAATGTGTTTACATATTTGTCGTATATATCGCATATGTACGGGGGCGTTGGGGGGTGTGGCAGGCAGCCAGCCGCTATGGCAACCTCCTGATGGGGCATACATAGCTTTTGTCTGCTGTCATAGCGCTGTATATATGACAGGATACACACACACACACACACACACAGGATACACAGATATCCGAATGTCGGAGTCGAGCGCGAGAGAGAGAAAGAGAGGGGGAGGAAGGAAGACAGACGACATTCGGGGGGGGGGGGGGGGTTTGATGCGCGCACGTGCATGCATAAACAAGAATGATAGGGCCACATAACGGTACATACATGGACCCATAAGCGACGCGTGTGCTGTACATGTGAGCGTGGAGAGCCAGAGCCAGCGACGGAGAGCGGAACGTGGGAGAGCATGTGCTTTAAAGCACATTATGTGCTTACGCTACGGTACTGTTCGCTGCTGCAGTTCTGTTTTTGTGCTGCCAGACAACAGACAGATGAAAGGAAGAGAGAGAGAGAGGGAGCGGGGTGCGGAGTGCGGAGTGGATTCGGGGCTTGTTGGGTGTGTTGAAAATCCATTCAATTTAATGCGGCGCTTGTGTCTAGCCAACAAATTTTAATGCTACACTTGGCTCCAACCCTCTCTAAGTCTCTCCACCCCTCTCCAGCGCTCTCTCCATCCTATAACCGTCTTCCTCTGTGTATTTTTATTGAAGCTTTAAAGCTCTTTCCATTTTTAAGCCCAAAAAATGCCTATTTTGCAATAAGCTTTAATTAGAAAATGGCCCGCGTCTCATTTCTTTAATATTAACCACACCCCCCGCCCCCCAAACAGGGGGTGGATATTGATTTTTCTGCGGCTTGCCGCCACCCTCATAGAGGGTTTTTCAAATGAATGAAAGCTGTCGTCAACGTTGTTTTATGCTAATGAAGTCACATTGTGTGTCGTCGACGTCGTCTACACGCCCACCAAAAAAATAAAATAATGGAATCACATTAAAATACAGTACGAAAAAAAAAAATAAATATTAAAAGAAGAAGGCAAAGGCATTGCGCTGAAACGTGCCTCGAATGACTAATTAGCATAATATAAAAAGAAAACAACAAAAATCATATGAAAGTCACCCTTACCCTGTTGCAAAAATATAGAGGGAACGAAAAGAGGTGTTGCATATCAATGTAGTGGGAATATACATATATGTATGTTTGTCCCGGGTAGCAAAATCTCCAGAGTGTGGGAATACTTTCAAGATACTTTTCACAGTAAAATGTTTGAAGAGAAGCTTTAAGATCGAACTGAAAATAAAATGAAACTCTGCAAAGTGTGGAATAACGCAGAAAAAAGGTGAGGTATTGTGGGAATACTGAGATTGGAATGGAATAAGGTATTCCTTTTTGGCATGGATAAAATATAGAATATGGAGGATAAAAATTGTCTCTCTTCGCGGAATAAACCGATTTTCCACCATGAATAACTTAAAACTTAAAACCACTTAAAAAAAACTCTCTTACAAAATGATTAACCATTAAAATAACTTCCATATAGACATCTTTAATTAGGATCACTCCACATATCATATTTATATAGAATGTTAATCGTTTTTTCGCCGCATTTTAATTAGAAAATCGTACAAATCTCAGCAAACCCCATTTCAATAATATGTAGACTACATTTTCGCATTAACGCTACCATTTATCAAATATCAACCCCAATTTATGGTTTTATTAATTATTTTTTTAATTTTCGATTATCGCATATCACGGAACCTTGATTTACTTATGATTTACCATTGTTCTCTGTCTTTTCTTCCTTTTTGTTCTCTTAATTATAGACTCGAACAAAAAAAAAAAAAAATTTTGTACATAAAAAAAATGCATGACAACGGTAAATGGCAAACCATGCGTACCCTGGAACGCAGTGGAATGAAACCAAGAAACAGTTGGAATGCCAGCAGCGATCTTTAAATGCGAAAAAAGTGGAGGCATTTCCCGGAGACGACGAAAACCTATCGATGAAGAAAATGTTGCTGAACATTGAGGAAAATGCATCGTTTTCTTAGCATACAGCAAAATATTAAATTACGCAACTATCATCAGTTACTTTTGTATTTTGGGGCATTACCAACACTGGCTGCCACTGCTGCTGGAGGAGGAGGACGAAGGAAGAAGGGTACGACGAAGAGAACGGGCAGAGGAAGGATCTGCAGAAGCAGAAGGATAGCAGAAGGCGAAAGAAGAGCTGGAAGGAAACAGAAGCAGCAGCAGCAGCAGCAGCATCTAAAGAGCAGCTACATAACGTAACAATAAACGTAACGCAACGTAACGTTACGTGAAGAGACAGAGAGAGAGAGACAGAAAGAAAGAGGGAGAGAAGAGTATAAATAATAATTATTCTTAGCCCAAAATATACATTATTAAACCCAACGCTGCCACTGTTCCTAAGACAACAAAAAAAAAAAAAAACCAACCACAAAAGAAAAGAGAAACATAGCCCGTAGTCCTTAAACGTAACCCATAAACGTAACATAACGACACACACACACTCGACACCAGAATCCTATCCGAATCTTAGGCCAATATTTCCATCATCATCAAGAATCAGTACTACCATCGGCTTAAACCAGCGATCATCGATAATCGATCCTCCCTTGCCACAAAACAACCGACGGCTGTGGCAGACAAGGGAGGCGACGCAAACGAGGAATATGGCAACACCGCAGGTCAAGGACTTGGTGTTGCGCTCGCCCTCTGGCTCCCCGGAAACGATTGCCTACGCCTGGCCCCTGCAAATAGGCCATGGACAGGATAAGCACGACAATGGGATCGATATCATTGATACGATTAAGTTCGTTTGCGATGATCTGCCATCGATACAATCGGCCTTCGAGGAGATCAATCTCAATCAAATTGACACTGCCTGCTATAAGACTATGACAAATCTTGTCGATCGCTTCAACAAGGCCGTCGACAGTATTGTTGCATTGGTAAGTATCCCGTGGCCATATCTATGCATAAGATCCCTATTATATGGTTTTCCCTCCATCTTCCTCGTTTAGGAAAAAGGAACGTCACTGCCCGCCGAGCGATTGAATAAGTTCGCTCACCCTAGCCTTCTAAGACACATTTTGCAATTAGTTTACAATGCTGCCGTTCTCGATCCGGACAAACTCAACCAATACGAGCCCTTCTCGCCGGAGGTCTATGGCGAGACGTCATACGAATTGGTCCAGCAGATGCTCAAGCATGTCACCGTCAGCAAGGAGGACACGTTCATTGATCTCGGTTCCGGTGTGGGACAAGTGGTACTCCAAATGGCCGGATCCTTTCCGCTGAAGACTTGCATTGGCATCGAGAAGGCCGACACACCCGCCCGCTATGCCGAACGAATGGATTTGTTCTTTCGCCAGCACATGGGCTGGTTCGGCAAACGCTACTGCGAGTACAAGCTGATCAAGGGCGACTTCCTGGTGGACGAACATCGCGAGAAGATCACCTCCTCGACGCTGGTTTTTGTGAATAATTTCGCCTTTGGCCCGACGGTCGATCATCAGCTGAAGGAGCGTTTTGCCGATCTGCGCGACGGTGCCAGGGTTGTGTCCTCCAAATCGTTTTGTCCCTTGAATTTTCGTATCACCGATAGGTAAGAGATTACTCTCGACCTTCCAGTACTTTAATCCTAATCTTTGTTCGCCTTTCTGTTGTAGAAACCTCTCGGATATCGGCACCATTATGCATGTGAGCGAAATACCGCCACTGAAGGGCTCTGTTTCGTGGACCTGCAAGCCCGTCTCGTATTATTTGCATGTGATTGATCGCACCATATTGGAGCGATACTTTCAGCGGCTGAAAACCAAAGGCGGCAACGATCATCACGAGCATGTTGGTAAGTTGATTGACAGAAAAGGCTGACGGAAGGATTAACAAAGGGATTGCGGATCAGAATCGATAAATCACCAAACAATCACAGAATCACAGCTTTTTTGTAGTTTTTCTTAGTTTTTTTTTTGGTTTAATCAATCAATCACTCTCAAAGTCGTATCAGTCTATCAATCATGAACTTGTATCAATCACTAAAATCGCTTTATTTTGTAGTTATTTAAGATCAATCATGAAAATCTGATCAAGCATTAATAGCACACAGAATCGTATCAATTTTTCAATCACGAATTGATTTTCTACCTCAAACAGTCACGTTTATCGTTTCAATTGGGGTTTCAATCACAAATCAATCACAAAAATAGCTTAAATTTTGATTTTTCTTGAAAATCAATCATGGATATCTTATAAATCTGATGTGGGCCAATCACAAAATCAATTAAATCAATGAATGAGCAACTCAATCAAAACCAAAAATCGTTTCAATCACAGATCAATCATGAAACTCGCTTAAATTTGTACAACTTTCAAGAGCAATCATGGATTGGATAAATATAGTGTTTGTCAATCACAAAATCAATCAATCAGAAAATCTAGCAAGAAATAAACCTAATCAATCAATCAATCACGTAAATCATTTAAATTTGGGATTCAATCACAAGATTCGCTTAAATTGTGATTTTTCTTCAAGATCAATCACGGCTATCGGTTATTTCCAGCGTTAGTCAATCATGAAATCCTGTGATCAATCCTGAAATCGACTTAAATCCCAATCCCACTGCAAGATCTTCTTAAAGCATACATTTCTTGGTGTTGAAGCTATATCTTTTCCCTTCAATCATGATGTACTAATCGAAGGATCTCTCTCTTATCTTCAGGTACCGTTCGCACCACACGTGATCGCGCCAAGCGTGAGGCAAACGTTGGACAGCAGCACAACAATCATCATCATCATCATAACAACAATCACAACAACAACCACAGCAGCAACAACAACAACAACAACAATCATCTGCAGCGCGAAAGAGAGCAATCGAACGGACCCACCGGAGGATCGACCATCAATCAGCGCCATCAATCGCAATCCCCGGCGAATGTCAGCGGCGGCGGACTAGGAGGAGCAGCAGGCGGTGGCGCCACAGCAGCTGCCTCCAAGACGCGCCAGCAGTTGCAACAACAGCAGCAGCAGCAGCAACAGCGGAGCCTCGACATGGAGAGCAGCACGGAGAGCGATGGCGAGGCAACGAATGGCAATGGCGGCAACACCACCACCACCACAACGACCACATCCGCCTCGAATGGCGGCGGTGGCGGTGGCAGCAGCGGGCCCATGACGCGACGCCTGTGGTACGACTTTTCCAGCTCGAAGGGCAAGAGCTCCCAGTCGGACGATGAGGAGAACAACAACAGCAACAGCAATGGGGGCAACACCAGCGTCACGGGTGTGCGGCAGGCGCGTGCTGCCACGCAGAAGAAGCGGAAGAAACTCACCCGCAAAGCGGCAATTGCCAGCAAGTCGGCGGCAGCGGCCCAGAGGGAGGCGGAGGCGGCCGCCGCCGTGGCTTTGGCCAGCAAGGACTCGTCCTCGAAGGAGGATGCACCGCGTGCCGCCAGCGCCGGCCCTGGACGCAAGGGACGCATGAAGAAGGGGGCCGGTGGCAGGGGCAGGAAGTCCCTGAAGATCGTGGGACTGGATGCGCTGCACAAGCAGACGGTCCTGAGCACCACACAGGACTCCGCGGCCAAGAAGCTGCCAGCGGCACCGGGCACCGTCGACCAGCAGCTGACGTCGCTGCTGACGGAAACGATGTCCCATCGCGAGCTGGACATACCAGCGGCGCCGCAGGACACCCCCTACGGCCTGCAGATCCTGCTCGAGTGCCTGCGCTCGCAGTACATGTCCTTCATGGATGTGATGAAGTCGAACGCCTATCTGCCGCAAATCCAAAAGAACATTGCCCAGGAGCAGGAGCGCATGTCGCGCCTGAAGAACCGAGCCAGCCAGCTGGACAAACAGATCAAAGTCCTCATTGACGACAGTGTGGCGCTGCTCAAGGTGCGAATGAACGAGCTGGGCATCAATGTGAACTCACCGAACGACCTGATTGCCCAGGCCAAGGAGATTGTGGGCAGGCACAAGGACCTGCAGCACACGGTTAGCAAAATGAGGAACGAGGTCACCTTCTACGAGGGCGAGCAGAAGATGCTGCTCAGCAAACAGCTGAAGAACCTGCCGGAATACCAGAAGCTCTGCGGCAATGGCCCCATCAATGGCAAAGTGAAGCTGGAGCTGCCGTCAGAGCTCTCGGAGACGACAGCCCACGAGCTGGTACTCAAGGAAATAGCGAACACCCTGAGCCAAAGGAAGAAGCTGTACGCCCAGGTCTCCACCATCGAACAGGAGACGACAGTGCTGCAGAAGACGGCCGAGGACAGGAGCACGGCGGCCTCACTGCTGGCCCAAGGCACAAACATTACTTTGGCCAGCAGCAGCAGCACCAGCAGCAGCAGCAGCGCCGGCAGCAGTGGCTCTGCTTCAGCCCCAAATCCTGCCTTGAATCCTGCCCCACCCAAAGCCAGCGGCGTCAAGGGTTCCCGACGCAGCCGCGAGCATCGCGTGCGGTCACAGGAGTGGCCCGAGGTGCCCGAAGTGGGCAAGATCCAGGAGGAAAATCCCGAGGTGTTGGCTTTGAAGATTGTGGAGACATGCCGGCAGATCGAGGCAGGCACCTTCCAGGCAAAGACCAGCGCGGCGCCGTACCAATTGAATGGCAAAAACAAGGAGCCGCAAATGCCCACCGGTGCTGCGGCTTCGGTGAGCATTAAATCCTCGCCGGGAGCGGCGGGAGGACATCATTACAAGGACAGCACTTTGATGCCAGCACCGAAGCAGCAGCAACAGCAGATGCAAGTGCAACAGTTGCAGGTGGCACCCTCGCTGCTGCCCAAATGCGAGCTGCCAGGCATGGGAATGGGCCTGAGTTTGGGTTTGAGCCTGGCGGGACTCTCCGCCCGCAAGCAGGAGTCCCCGAAGGTGGCTAACTTTGAGGATCGCTTGAAGAGCATCATTACGACAGCCCTGAATGAGGACCAGGAGCAGAGGAGCAAGGCCATACCCCCGGAAATTCCATCACAACCCTCGCCATCGCCCCTGCAGAGTCCCGTGTCGAAGCGAAGCAAACAACAGCAGCAGCAGCTGCCGCCCTCGAGTCTGCACAACATCATTACGGTGTCCACCCAGGGATTGATGCATCTGAATGCGAATACCACCATTTCGCCCATCACACCGCCACTGCCGGGACCCGGAGCGGGGGCCACGGCCTCGACGGCACCGCCACCGCCCGCGAATCTCCCGTACGGGGCATATGGCGGCAAGAGCACGCCCACGGGCAAATATCAGGCAGCCAAGGAGCAGCACAGCAAGTACTCCCCCGCCAGGCAGCAGCAGCATACACCATCCTCGGGCGCCGCCTCAGTGCCGCCGCCGCCACCGCCACAGGTGCCGGTCTCCTCCCACATGGCAGCGCTGTACGCGGCCGGACAGCCAACGGCACCCACTCCGGCGGACTTGGGCTACCAGCGACGCCGTGCCTCGGTGAGCGCCAGCAGCTATGAGCATTTCCTCGTACAGCAGCAGCAACAGCAACAGCAGCATGCCCTCATGATGGCCGCGGCCGCGCATGTGGCACAGCGACAGCGAGCGGAGGAGCATCATCAGCAGCAGCAGCAGCAACAACAGCAACAGCAGCAACAACATCGATTGCAGCAGCAGCATCTCCATCATCATCACCACCACCATCCGCTTTCGCATTCGCATCCGCAAGAGTTCAAGGCCCCGCCAGCGGATAATCTTCTACAACGCTCGAGCAGTCGCGATCAATTGGTGGAGCCACCGCCACAGCAGCAGCCGCACAACATGGAGCTGCTGCCACGAGCAAGTTCCGCCAACTCGGATTACGGGGCGTACCGCGTACGGCCGCCCAGTCGTCCCAGCTCGAACTCCTCGCAGCCGGACTACACGCAAGTGTCGCCGGCCAAGATGGCGCTGCGTCGTCATTTGTCGCAGGAGAAGCTCAATCAACATGTGACGCCGCAGCCGACACCGCCGCCGCAGGGCCTGCCGCCACCGCCCACGGGCAAGACCATTGGGGATCTGGTGAATGGGGAGATTGAACGGACGCTGGAGATCTCCCATCAGACGATCATCAATGCGGCCGTCAATATGAGCACCAGCGGGACCCAGTTCATGGAGAGGGCCTTCAACGAGCGGGCCTCCTCCAATGAGCGGCTGCTCATCAATCTGAATGCCCAGCGGCCGGAGCGAGTGCATGTGCGGCCGCTGTCGGACGAGTCGCAGGAGGCACATCCCACGAACTATGTGTCCAGCGGTGGGGCAGCAGCAGCCCAAGCAGCCGCTGCCGGGCAGGGCAGCAACAACAGCAACCTGGCGACCCTGGCACATGTGGCATATGTCCAGAAGAGCGCGCCACAGAGTGGCGGTCGAACGGCGGCGCCAGCCACACCCACGCCGGCACGTTCTGTCAGAGATTCGTATCAAACGGTGGCACTGCCGCGAGCGGAGATGAAGGGCTGCATTGAGGCGTACTTCCACGATGAGCAAAAGACCAAGAACGTCGGAAGTGCAGGGGCAGGAGCAGCAGGAGGAGGCGCGGCAGCTCTGAGAGGACCCCGTCTGAATGGCGCCAATCCTCCGTTGGAGGGTAAGTATTCCAGGGAATCCTTAGCGGGGATACCTTTTCACTGAACCTTCTCTTTATCCTTCCTTTAGGTCTCGCTGCCTCACTCCAAGATCATGTGCGTGCCAGGAAATACAAAGAGGAGACCGAAGAGCGACAAAGGCGTGCAGCAGCAGCTGCCTCATCCTCTGCGTCGGCACCGTCTGCAGGCGCAGCAGATCTGCAGCAGCATTATGGACAGGCCCCACCCGCCCATAGCTATCTACACCATCCGATCCATCATGGAGCAGCGAACCTGAACGGCAGCGGCAGTAGCAGCAGCAGCGGCAGTACACCGCACAAAGTGGAGCGTAAGCTGTCGAATCTATGCCACAAATAACACGAGAATCCGTTGCTCATCTTTGAACTTTGTTTCTGCCTTTTAGTTGGGGTGAAGCGAACCTCTCCTTTGGCGCCGCATCATCAGCCGTCGCGACCCTCGAAGATACCCCACTATGAGCAGCCGCATGTCCACGCCCATGCCCATGCCCATTTGTATGCCAATGGGGGGCAGGTGCTGCAGCCGCCACCGGCACACGATGCCACGACGCCCTCGCCAACGCCTTCATCCTCGTCCTCGTCGTGCGGCAGACGCAGCAACACTAACAATGGGAAAATGCTTGTGGAGCCACCGCTGCTGATGAGTCCGGAGATCAATTCCCTGATGGGCGATGAGCGACCGCTGCAGCTGTCCACGAATACGCATCATGTGATGCAACAGCAGCAGCACCACCACCAGCAGCAGCATCATCATCACAATCATCAGCAGCAGCAGCATCTGAGAGTCGCTGCACATTTGGGGCATTCCCATGGCCACAGTCATAGCCACAACAACAGCAGCAGCCACAGCAGCCACGGCCACAGTCATAGTCACGGCCACAGCCACAGCCACAGCACCACTCCCACATTGGGGGTAATGCAACGCAATGCCAATGCCAATGCCAATAATGCCGCCGATGATGGTAAGCTATATGTGGGCCAATCCCAAGAGATAGGGACAAAAGCACACCAATATCCGTTACAACCACCGCCTGCACAAGTATTCAATAACAAAGAGCAAAAACAAAAGTCACACAATCGCCTCTACCATCAGCACAAGTATTCCACACGACTCTCCTCCCACGCCCAGTGGGTGGCAGAAGATTTAACCATCAAGAAGGTCGAACCGGAGAAGGAGTCGGTCTCGGATGAGGGCTCCTCGACTTCCGACTCCAAATCTGATTCCACTTGATTTTTGGACACCACATACACTCACTCACTCACACTCACACACACACACACACACTCGCACGCTCGCACACACATTGTTATGCACCACAAAATTATACAATTCTTATTTATAAATTTAAATATTAAAAAAAAAAAAACAAAAATCAACTAAAAAAAATTTCCTTAAATGTTGCGTGTGTTGTTTTGTAGCCTTGGTTTTTGTCTCCATTTACACGTAGTGCACTACACTGTTTTTTCAATTGCTTAATTTTGTATTCTTTTTTTTATTTTTGGAGTGGCTTTTTTTTATTATTTTTTTTTAAATATACTTTATTTGCTTTAATAATAGAGCTGTGCAGCAGAAAATGCAGACTGAAAGAAACTAAAAAAGAAATGATTCAAAATTTATAAATTTATATACAATATTCCCCCCTTTTTTTCTTATTAGTCCATAGAATAATTATACTGAATAAATTGTACGATTATTAAACGGGTTTGTCATACTTTTTCACACACATAAAAATATTCAAGCCAAAAGCAACATTTTTTGTATCATATATATATAAAAAAACCAAAGACCAACAACAAGAATCAACTGTAACCAAAAGCCAACAACTTTCGAACATGCTAAAAAGTACTATTAAAAGATTATAGAACACATAGAGTCGTTTCTGGGATTTTAAGAAGAGAAAGCACTCTCATTCCCTTGGTTAAACGAACTGCTTAACGTCTCGTTCACTGCTTACCCTTTTTGTTAGAAAAACTGCTTACTTCTCGTCCCTTCTTTGAAAGAACTGCTACCCTGTCAAGCTCTTCGTTAAATGAAAATCGTGACTCCAATTTCCATGCGTCTTCTATGTGTTCTATAATTTTTGGCATAGTATAAACCACCTCTACGCCTCCCACCTCTTTATCCTAAGCGTCATGCCAAATCAATCATAAAAATATTTGCATATATAACATGCCATCCGAGAGACATATACACCCCACACACACACACACACACACACCACACACCACAAACAACACTCAAAACTCTTTTGTAAAAATTACAATTTCAAAATTAACCCCAAATCGAACTCAAACTCAAACTCTTCTGGAATGTTATTACAAATAATATGCATAATTAATTTTCAATTATACTAAACGAAAACAAAAACAAACAAAGTTAATTGGTAATACCGAAAACAAACAAAACCCTAAACCATCTTATCCAGCCCTCCTTATGATCCCTATTCTATTATGCTCTACTCCATACAGTTAACGATTTGGCAACGCAACGTACTATAACTAATTACGATCCCAGACGTCGCCTTCGCACGACTCTGTCGGGCGCAACGAAACTATCGGCACTCGTCTATGAGAGTAGTAATCAGAATTACAATCAGAATTTGAATTTGAATGGATATGTCCTGGCCGATAGTAGTAGTAGTAGTTGCTCCCACAGTATATCCCCCAAATAACCATTGAATCGAAATCGATTGATTTTCGAGATTCGTACAACCTAAAACACATGTTTGTTGTTGGAAAAGATAAACCCCATATAACACGAAAAATTCGACAGAAAAAAGACAAACATTTAATTTTTTGCGTTTAATAATTTACCCACTAAAAAACAAAAGTACAGAATTTATATGCCAAAAAACAAAAACAGATATACAATCCGTAAATTAAAAAAAAAGACCCAAATTTTTATGAAAATTTTAACGAGCATGAGGTAAGTTCTGTTGCCGCTAATTGGTTTTCCTTTTAAACGATTATGATTTTACTTATGATTTTCTTTTGATTTCTCAATTATCATTTTTCGTAACCACTCTCTTTCGTTTATTCATTAACCCACTTACACACACACACCACAGAAACCCCCTTGTGTCCACCCACTCACACACACACACACACACACAAAACATTTCCCCCGCTGCACGCAAAACGCAACGCAACTGTACCACCGAAAAAAACAAACAATATGCTTAGGGCCACGCACACGCACACACGACGAATCCTAAAAACAAAAATGAATCCAAAAATCACCTCACAATCCAAGATCTCAAGGATCTGCTAAGATCATCAAATATATCCCATTTTAACGCTGATTCTTCCGTATCCCACAGATGATGTCATTGCCGCTGATGACGAGTCCCATTGGCAGCATCGCGTGAGCTCTGGCTTCGATCGACTGGTGGCCTTTGCCAGCACCGAATTGGACAAGACACGGCGCAGCATTGACGGGGACACAGTGCCGGCTTCGATCAGCTGCAACACATCGCCGGACTCGGGGATCACGCACAGCAGCAGCAACTCGGATGCAGTGCGCACGTTTCTGTCCACGTCGTCCAGCTCCTCGCAGTTGGAGCTACCGATCGGCAGTGGCGGCAGTGGCAGCAGCAGCCACAGTCTGTACGGCAGCAGCCAGGTGCACAATCTGAGCAATCATTTGCAGCAGCACAACAACAGCGGCGGCAGTGGCAGTGGCAGCAGCAGCAGCAGCAGTGGCGGCAGCAACAGCAGTGCCCACAACATGGTGCATCATCACCAACAGCAGCAGCAGCAGCCCCTGCAGCAGCTGCCATCCCAGCAGCAGCAGCAGCATCATCATCTGACGGATCATCTGAGCGACAGCAGCATGAAGTCCACGGCTGGCAGCTCCCTGAAGACCGTCTCCCCGGTGGATCCCAGTGCCATTGACTCGCCGCCGCTGTCGGATGTCGGCCTGCCACGGACCCCGAGTCCGAGTGCGGCCAGTGTGGCCACGCCTCCGCTGGCGAACGCCCCCTTGGGGATCGGCAACGAGCTGGGTATACCACTGAAGTACCAGCGCAAGTCGAAGAGCGGCTCGGAGAAGCACTACAAGAAGAAGTTCTGCGAGCGGAATTGGGAGTACGATTGCGACGAGCTGTTGGCCTACTCCAATTCCAGTGCGCCGCCCACAGCAGCCGATGCGGCTGGGAATGGACCGCCTGCCCTGCTGGACACGGCCAGCGGTGTTGGAGGAGTTGTTGCCTCCATGATGGGTGGTAAATCGGGCAAATCCCCGAAAGAGAAATCATCGCCGCACCACAGTGCCAACCATAATGCCGGCTACCATCACAAATCATCCAAGTTCCGGCCGAAGGGCAAGGACTGGGACTGGTCGCTGGACAGCCGCAGTCAGACGGGCGACGGCCTGCTGCCACCCACATGCCCTCCGAACGGGGCGAACAACAACAATAATAATAACGCCACCACCACCACAACGAGTAATTAATTTAGTAAACTAATTTAGTTCAATTTTGCTGAATGGAAAAGGAAATTAAATCCAAAAACCGCCCCATGCGCCACAAAAGTATGCAATGCTTCATGCTTTTTTTTTAGCCAGATTTTGTTTGAATGTGCACACACGATGTGGTGGATTATATTGTATGTATTTAAAAAAGAAAACTAAACAGTTTTTTTATAATTTTAACTAAATGAATTGTGTTTTTTCCACATAGTTAACTTATTGTATAGCCCCCCTCCGCCCACCCAATCGTCCCTCACATTTGTTTGAGTTCTGACCTGCACGGCCCCTTCTACTATATATAGTTATTATCCTGCCCCGCCCCCAACTACTACTATTACTACTTCTACATCTAGTGTGTTTTTATTTGAGAATTGCAAACCATTTTAAATTAGGCTAGACGCGTTTTTTCATATTAGTTTTGTAAGAGAAGAGTTTGAGGATCATAATGATGTTGATGAGCCCCGAGAATGAGAATGAATATGAGAAACCCCACAACACTTTGCTGATTGAACAATGTTACTGACTTTCTATATTACCGATTACCAATTATTACCAACTATTATGTATTTAATTATTTGTCTCTTTTATTGTTTAATTACGTTTTTTGTCCCTAAGTTGAAAGTTTTTGCCTTTATTATTAATTTTGAAATAAAACAAATTGTCAACTAATTAAAGAACCTTTGTTTTTCTTCTGTTCTGTTCCATCTTTTGGTTTTGTGTTTGGTTTTGTTCTTAAAAACGAAAGATGAATTGGGACCAACCCCTCCAAAATCGAAATCCGAACCCGTGACCCGATTTGCCCTTAAAGAACGTTGCTTCCAACAAAATCGAAAACGAATATTCGTATATGAGAAATATATGATATTAAACGAGTAAAAGATTAAAAGTAAAAGTAGCAAGAGTTTTTTCTTTGCATTAAGAGACTTGGCAGCAATAATATTTCAATAATTGAGCAGCACTTTATAACGATATATAATATATATATGTATATTTATATATGGCACAAGACAATTTCACATTTTTTTGGTACTTTTTCATATATCTTTTTTTTTCTAAAGTTGTTTTTTTAATAATGCAAATATGGAAATAGAAATATGGGAAATATGGGGTGCTATAGGAGTGCTCAAAAAAAACAAACAGAACAGCAGCAACAAAGATGGTGTGTACTTTAATCGCAAAAACAATAAATCCAAAACAACAAAAAAAAAACACTGAACAGTAGAGGAAATTAGATAATGTATACAAGCAACATGCAATATGCAATATGCAACATGCAGTAGCAGCAACAGCAGCAGCAACAGAACAACAAGTAACCTTATTAATTAAAGAATTTTCCACCTCAGCGAGATAACAACAATTTTATATATATATATATAAATATATAATAGCAGGCATATACAACATATATACATACATATATTATACATATAATATATAGAAATCGGGGAAGGAACTCAGCAAAAAATATCAGGAAACCAATAATTAAAAAATGATTTACAAAAAGCATTTAAAAAACAAACAAAAAACCAGCATAACACCAACAAAATATATTAGCAAACAATAAACATTTAACAAAAAAAAAAGGAATGCATATAATACCAATAATATTAAAAGAAAAACAAAAACATATAATTAAAAAATATATATATAGCAAATAAAGGGAATTTCAAATGTGCTATTAGCGTAGTAATGATTAAAAAAAAACCAACAATATTATGGAACTAATAGAAATACTTCAAGGGGCAGTACACACGACTTTTATACGTACATACAATATATATATTATGTACATATTATATAGGCATATACCCATTATATACAGAGTCCGAGCTAAAATCGGGGAAATCGGAAATGAGAAACGAAGTAAAATGAAAAACAAGTGTTGTAGCAAATGGAATATTATTTTGGCGCTATTAAAACAAAATGTCATGTAAAATGCATATAAAATATTAATAAAGAATAGTTAAATTTACATGTAAAATTTATAAAAAAAAAAAAACAAAAAATAATAAAATAAATCAATAAAAAGATTATATAAAAATGTCGGCGAAAAAAATGTGAGATGAAGTAAAGAAAACACATTAATAAGCACACACACACACATATTAACATTAAAAAGGTATTATTATGTATATTTAACAAATATTTATTGCATATTATTATTTTAAACTTAAACGTTTAATAAAAAATATTAAAATATAATTAACACAAATGCAATGAAGTGAGTTTTAGTGGGATTTCGAAGGAAGGGAAAAGTCCCTAAAATATTCAAATGTTTTATCGGATACTTTCGGACATTCATACCATTTTACGGAGTGCCGACGGAGGCACAAGAATGAGAACTTCCTGGGACCGGGAACCAAAGAGTAAGAGACTAAAGACTGGGCTGTAAATCGTCTGTAGGGAACAGCATTCCCAGTGCTGATCCATCCCCAAATTTGATCAAAAAAGAGAGAGATCTGGGCAGTCATTTCTGTTTTCGTTTTTCTGTATTTTATGTCATTCAAATATCTTATAAAAAAGTACAGTTTTGGTTCCGTTTTAAATTGAATGCTCTGTTGCTGTATACATAATTGCATATCAATTTTCATACATATCTCTATAAAGTGTTCCCGGTGACAAATATGTTCCACTAAATTTACATACCATACTTATCGGCTATTGCTATTTGCATAGTACATACATACATACATACATACATACATATATTTGTTATCAATTGTTTGAAAGCGGAGGATCCTAGGGGGTTGCATTTGTTAATCTTTCGTTTATAGAACTTACGACATTAAATACATATTGTTTTGTTTTGTATTGGATTTAGTGTGGATTTCTGATTATTGTAGGACTCTATGATTACGGTTGCTGACTATGCATATAAGAAATTCTCGGCTCTGCTGAAACTCAATTGTTTCCCCTAGCGTTTCGCGTGTAAATGAGTGTATATTTCTTTAATGTACTCGTATAACATTCTATTAAACTATTTATGTGTGTATATTTTTTTTTTTTAGGTTTGTATGTATATTTGTTTTTGTTTCTGGTTTTTCCTGTGGTATATGCATTTACACATGAATTGTTTTACAATAAAGCACATTAATAATTTTTTTTTTGTTTAATTTTTTACAAATATGTTTTTAAAAACTTTAGACACATTAAAATTGTTTTTTTAGAACGGAATTGTGTTCGGGTAATAGACTTTGTTGCACAAATTCTGAATTAGAAAATTTTTTTTTAAAGCTAAGTATTGTTAAAATTTGGAAGAAAAATAACTGGGACTGCAAGAAACGAAATTACAACTAGAGTTCCAGACACTAGAGAACTCGCATGAAATCCAAAGGCTGATAGGTCATAGGGTAGGGTGATAGTTAAGATAAAATCCTAGAGAACTAACCGCAATTCAAAACGCGATTTAAACAAAAAATATATAAAAAAACATTTATAACAAACAAACACTTACATCTAATCGAAGAAGAATCAAAGCATTACATATAAAAGACAGATAGAAAGTATAGTAATAGAACGATCTGTGAGTGGGGGGGGGAATAGTGTTAGTAAAATCGAAGGAGGGGCCTATCCATATAGCTATGTATATCCATATCTGAACAATTGAATACCGTACAATACCATACAAACACACAATTGAATTCTGACAATCTCCGTTCCATATGACCCCTGAATAAACATGGGAAATATCTCACTCTAGAAACTGTTCTGGGGGTCATAGGAATACTCGACGAATGCCGAGACTGTATGTAGCTCTATAGTTCTCTAAGATGTACATTCGTTTTACAATTACATATTGTTTGTAAATTTGTTTTCCGTTTTTAAAACCGCTGCACACGTTTCCTTCATTCAGACTTTAAGTTCGTTTCGTTTTTTGTAAGGTTTGTTCAACAGTAAAAACTATCATCCATTTACATACAGAAATCATCATTGGTTTAAGGATTAGGTTAATATTACAATAACAATATACAACAGTGGCAGGGGACAGGGCCTGAGGGTTGCAATAGATGCGATAGATCGCGGAGCTCAAGCCGGAGCTCTCTTCTCTCTCTAGCTCGTTTTTGCACGTGGATATATTGGATAGTTTTGAAACCAATGAAAGGCTCGAAGCTAAGCTGTGGTATAGAGTTTAGAGTTAAGCAGGAAGTGTGGGATGTTTTTGGCGAAGAGAAAGCTCATTCTGTGTGGAAGAGAGACAGACACTGATACATTGAGGCACGGGATTAACTAGACACGAAATGAACACAACAATGAAACTAATCGAGACGATCGGATCGAAGATTTGTCCTACAACTGATCCACATGCTCCAGCAGATAGGCCACCACTGTGGCATCTTCTGGCATTTGGGAAACAGACTTTTCATCCACCTTCTCCTCTCCTTTTTCCTCTCTGGGTTCGGTAACCTCCTCCTGAGCCTTCTCTTCGTGCAAATTCTACAAGGTATCCAGTATACTGCTGGGCGAGCTGTCATCCATCAGCGAGTCCGAGCTGAGGGTCAAAGCGGGATTCTCATCGCTGCACGCTGGGACAAACGCAGACGAGGGCACAAGGTCGATGGTGCAGCCATTGATCAGGAAATCCCGATGCAACTCCACGGGACTATAGCGAAAGCAGGGCGTGGTTATGGGCGTCGTGGGCATCGACTTGGATATATCCATCGTATTGCGAGCGCTGTACGAGAGGTAGGATCCCCCTTGAATGCTATTGCTCGATGTTTCCCAGTTGAACGATGGCGAGATGTTGAAGAAACCATTTGTGGCATTCAGGTTGCCGCCTCCTACTCCACCGGCATTGCCACCTCCATTGCCATTAAAGCCTGTCAGATTGTTGTTCTGTTGCTGATGCGGCAGTGGTGTGGAGGGCACAGAGCGTGAGACAATGCCCGCAGAGCCTCCGCTGCTGTAGCCAGAGGACGAGCCCGCCGAGGAGCTGCATGTGGTGGCCGTTTGCTGGGATATGTTCCCAAACTTATTGTTGAAGCTCGGCGATACAATGGCACCCACATCCACTTCGTAGAGCAGCGCGGCGGCCGCCTCCACGTCCTTCAGGGGGGCCACTGCCACCGAATTTTGGCTGTTGCTGTTCTCCGAGTAGAAGGTGTCGCTCGCATAGCTCGAGGCCTGAAAGCTGGCCTGCCGATTGAAGCTGGGCGATGGATGGCAGCTTCTCTGTAGCTGTGACAGCGGCACCGATTGCGAGCGTTGCGTCTCCGTTAGATCCAGATCATCGCCACCCGTCAGGGCCAGGCTAGTCTCGAGATCCATAGAGTTCTGGTTAATCAAGGGATCCGCACTGTTCGTATCTTGGAAGGAGTTTGCTCCACCAAATGGCCAATTTCCCACCATGCACTGCTGCAGCAGCGAGGGGCTGGGCGGCGCCGAGGCCGAGGTGCTTGTGGGATAGCTATAGACATAGCAGCGTTTTCTACGCGTTGCTCCAATCATGGGATCACGATTGCCATCGCAGTCAAGGGATTGCTGTTTGGTCAGCAGACTAGAACGTTGCCGCATCCGCGTGACGCCAGGACTGGCAAAGCAATTTTGTTGATTGGAATTTGTTGGATTCTGATGCTGCGGCATTTGATTCGTTGTTGTGCTTCCTGTTGCTGCTGCTGTTGCTGATCCGCTTCCATTGTTGATGTTGGGGGATATGGGCAGAAATATGCAAT